CTCTCCGTTGCTTTGAGGGTAATATGCCGATGATGTTCGTTTCCTTATGCCCCAATTATCTAGGAACCGGTTAAATTCACTGGAGTCAAACGGTGGTCCGCCATCGGGTTGAAAGTTCCTCACGCCATATACGTGCAGAACCAGTTTCATAGGGCGTCACATGTAGCCTTGGCATTCCCGGACGACATCAGAGTGACTTCTACCCATCCAGTGTATCTATCTGCATATACTAGATAGTTCTTCCCTCATAAATCGAAGAAGTCCATCACAGTCTTCTGAAATGGGAACTCGGGGTTCGAGGGCGGCATTAGGGGTTCCTTGGGTTGTGATGGAGCTATTACGTTGCATACTTTGCACTGGGCCGGGTTTGGCGAATGCTCGCGTCCAGTCCTGGCCAAAACAGCCGCTGTCTAGCGTTTGCCAACATTCCATTGACGCCCTGATGCGCTGAATGGAGTGATTCCAGTACCTCCATACGTAGCTTTCTGGGTATGAGGATTTTATTTTCCATTATCGTCACCCCTTCAAGCAATATAACTCCTCTTTCATATGCCAAAACCGGCGAATTGTCTCCGGCAGTTCGTGCCGAGATTTAGGGAAGCCATTTTGTATGAATTCGGCGAGGGAACGGCATTCCTCGTCAGTAGCAGCTGCAGCCACAATCCTGTCCCATGTTATTGCTCTTAATTTAGGGTCCTGCTCATAGGTGGAGTTAAATGACGCCTTATGGCGCTATCCATAGTTTGTCAGCGATGTCCTCTTCGTTTGCTTCCTCCTGGCTTAACGCCACTGGGCATCTCGATGTACAGTCTGGTGCCGCATTGAGTTTACCAGGGAGATGCTTTATTCGAAATTTGTACATCAAGGACCGTTCTTTGAAGTTAAACAGTCTTGGGTTCTTTATGTCCTCCAGAGCTTTGTCCGAGAAGATCTTCACCAGGGGCTTATGGTCCACGGTGACTAACAGCTCTGGGCACCCCAAAACGAACATCCGGCATGCTTCCAGTCCGTAGACTAATGCCAATGCTTCTCCTTCCACTGGTGCATATCGGGACTCTGCGTCATTAGTGAATCGGGAGCCGGCCAGGATTAACTTCCAGTGGTCCTCACCACACCGGTCCAGCTTCGGTGGCACAGTTGCAGTGCTTCTGGAAAAGAAAATATCCTAAGCCTGTTTTGCTGAAGTCCGTCGACAAACAAGTTGGCCTATTCACTTGAAGGTTCTTACACCGTTCTCGATTTCTTCTGTGATCCTTCTTTTCGACTCTTTCAAGATTCGATCGAGTGTGCTGTCCCAGTAGAACTTCCGATTTTTTTTGTCTTTAGCAGCTCCCGGAACAGGGGCCATTACCTCGCCTGAGAAAAAGCGTAGGCTACCTGGTTTACCATTCCAAACCAGGATCTTATGTCAGTTATATTTTTGGTGTCGGGAAATTCCGTATTGTTTCAGTCATTTTTTGGTGGGTTTTATCCCGTCTTCTGTTATCAAGAACCCGCAAATTCCACCTCTTTTTTCCGAAGTGAAATTTCTGGGGGGTTGAATACGATACCATTTTTGCTGCAGTTATTTATGTACTCTATAGTATGCCAAAATGATGATTCAATAGAGTTGTCCCATAGTATCGTATCGTCAATACATCTTGTTTTCCTGGGCATATCTACAGTAATATTGTCGAACCTGCGTGTATATGCGTCTCCTGACGCTTGGAATCCTTTGTGGTGCCCGAAGATAACGGTATCTACCCCATTCCGTGATGAAGGTAGTTGCATCTCTTGCCGATGGAGAGAGGGTTAGGCTATGATAGCCATTCCATGCATCCAAAACGGTTTTTTCTAGTTTTGCAGGCACCAGCGATGCCTGATTGAAAGGAGACGGTGTATGATGGGTTTTCGTAGGGTAGCGGTGTTGAGCTTCTGTAGGTCCACCGTGCGCCTCGGTGACCCGTCCTTTTTCGGTGCAACCACCATTCTGGAGCACCATGTTGTAGGTGTACCCACTGGTACAGGTTCTATGATGCCCAATGCCACGTCTCGGTCGAGGTCCTCCTTGACTCTTTTCTTCCAATGGTGTGGGACCGGGATTGGGGTGTGGACAGCTGAGGGTTTGGCCCCCTGGATGAACGTGATGTCCATGGGTTTTCCTTCCATCGCCTGCAGCCGTTGATGTGGGCATACATTGAATGCACTGGACTCAAAATGCTCCTTCATCCATCGTTCCAATCGGGGTCTGTTTTCTTCCATAGGAGCGAAAGGGATACTGTCGGCTTAGGTGGGACATTAGTTCTTTGTGGGCACCCACATGGTGCCTTTTTCCGTCGCTAGTTGCCACGTTCTGCTGGGAAGTTGGGTCTGAAAGTTATCTGGCACCAGACCAAGGTCTTTTTAGGGCCCGACTCGGACAGGCAGAAATCTGATGTATTTTTGATACATATATAATCTGACGTGTTTCCCGCGATCCTACTCTGACTTTAGCGAATATCACGCCTTTTATGTTTAGTAGGTTATCCGTGATTCCCGAATTCGGTGACTAGTCGGTACTAGACATTTGTCTGGACACTTCAAATTTTTTGATTTCTGGTCCGCTAGAGCATGTCTGTGCCCCAGTGTCTGCGATCGCCTCGATCCGGTGAGTATGGAGGCCAGCTTGTCCTATGGATATGTGCCCGAATTCCGCATGGGCCTCTGGAATCAGAGTTATCTCTACCATCAGGGTTGGTGCCGGATCAGGAGTACCTCTTCGGAACTTACTTTTGTTCCAAATCAGGTGCGGCACGGCCTTTGGTTTTGTCAGGTTGATTTCACCTCTCCTTTTCACTTGTCCATCTTGGACGATCATCCGTTTCGACCCTTCTTGTGTCTTTGGGTGGTGAGAGTTCTGGATTCTGCTCCGACCACACCCGCTGTAGATTTGTTGCTGGACCCCTGCTTCGGTTTCCTGCAAACCCCTTTTAAATGTCCGGTTGAGCCGCAATTGTGACAAGTCATCTTTGCTGCTGGGCAACCCTTCGTTCATTCGAGCTGTCAGGGTGTGAGCTCTTCCCACACCATTTACAGGGTTCAGTGTCTCTCGGGGTTGATACGGTCTGGTTCTCCCGAGGCCGCTGCCTCGCGCCCGATCTCTGTGTGCTTTCGTTGTAGTAGGGTATACGTTACTATGGAGATGGGGTGTAGACTTGTCCGTGGTCTCTAGGCTGACAAGCCTGTTGAACTTTTCTTCCAGTGTCGTAAAGTGTCGCAGCCTCAGACAACACCTTGCTTTGATGCTCCAGGTTTGCCAGCCCAGCCACCATTTGTCCTGCTACCATATCGTTGGAGTAGCTGACTTTCCGACCGCATCCTATCCTGTTCGGACAAGTCACTGAAAAGTCGCAGAATTTTGCGACTGATCGGGTCGTGCCACGAAGTCCGTAATCGATTCCCCTCCTTCTGCCCACGGAGTGGAATTCTTGCCGGTACACTTCTTTGTAGGCTTCTGGCCACGAGCTTTTATGTGTCGTGAACAGCTCTTCCTCCGTGACGGAGTTTAGTACTTCTGCTCCTACCATATCGAACAACAGCCTGTTCACTTCTGGGGCACAGGCCGTTTCTCAGCTCGTTTCTTAATGCTGTTGGCTCCGTCAACCCACACATCTCCTTGTATCTATTCCAGGAGTCAATGAATATCGCCCAGTCACCATCACTTGAGTCCGGTTCTATATTAGGTCTGTCGGGTCTCCTTGTAAGTGACTTTCTCGGCTGTCCTCCGTCTCTTCGCAGGGCGATGATCTCTTGCTGTAGCTCGATGAGCTGTCGAAGTAATGTCTGCTGTGTTTGTTCGTCCATATTCCAACGTTGTTTGTAGCAGGTTTCCTATATCGGGCGACGCCATGTAAGGTAGCAGCGAGACGACGTGTATCTGCCTCGATCCTCGTTGCCGTGAATGTCTTGTTTAAGTAGCCCTCTCGCCTCTCATGTAAGCGGGCGAGTCTACTTCTATGGGGGTGTGACGCCAAGACCATTCCGGTCTTGTAACTGGGCGTCTTAGGTTCGATTCCACCTCTACAGTCATGTCATCCTCTGAGAGCCAATGACATCACTGGTAATAAATATACAAGCAGCTTCAAACCATTTCATTATATATTTTATCTTTATATCCTCCATGTGTTTTTTTAGTCCACATTATCTGACATGCTCTAACCAACTGAGCTACAAAGAACTTAGCCAATCAGGAAAGGCTGAAATATTGCCTTTAAGTGAAACTTCTTTCATCAGAGACCTCTCAAAATTTTTTGTATCCAGACATAAAGCAATTTTCTAAAGTAATAGATTTCTATTAATCTGACAGATTGGTATCACTTTAAATGTCATTTTTAGTGGATTCTTATATTTCGGTAAACGCTCTGTTTATTTATTAAACAGCATGTCTATTTATTTTCACCTACCAGCCAGAATGTTGGAGGAATCTTATTAAAGAAAAATATGCTGGTAAGCACATATATTCCTAATTATGTTAACATATGTAATAGAAATGTGTTGTTATGTCTTAGATTATTACTTTACTATTGCATTAGCATAGGTGAGTGATGTAAATGTGTATCTACGGAAAAACGTGGATACATTCTTACACAAAAAATTGCGTTATGATGCATGATGGGAACAGAACAATTTCATAAGTCAAAGACCTCCTGTAGTCCAAATTCAGTCCTGAAGATCAACAGTTTGCATCAAAAAGCTCTGTGCCTGGCTCCAAGGGCAAACACTGGCTGGCTCTGTGCCTGGCTCCAAGGGCAAGCACTGGCTGGCTCTGTGCCTGGCTCCAAGGGCAAACACTGGCTGGCATTCTATTTGGATCTAGAATTAAATACTGATTGTGTTCAAAAGTCTGAAGTCTGCAAGCATTCACCTAGAAGGCAGGCCTTTTCGTCAAAACAAGTCTTACCTTACAGCAAGGAGTTCAGTTTTAATATTCTCGGCTTCCACTAAAAGTGGGTATATATTGAGAACAATTAAAATGTACTTACCAAGGACATTGCAGCCATCAACAAGGGCAGTTCCAACAGTTTCTTTCATCACTTTTGGTTCATTCTCTGAAGATGTTGTTTCTGTTTGTAAATCTCGCACGTACATCTCTACAATAAACAAAAGCAGATAAGTGTCCATTAAATACCTATCAGGTGATCTTTAAATTAATTAGGCATTAAGGAACTTCTATTATTTATGCAGGAATGCCAAGTTCTGCAAAAGGTCAGATTTATAAATGAGCAGTTTATATGAATACGTTTACTGCAGACAGATTTGCCCAACAACATAAGATATGCAGACACAGAAGAAAGTTGCAGGAAGTTCAAGACAATTAAGGAAAATGAGAAGAAAGGACTAACTGTCAATTGTAAGAAAATAGGATAAATGGTTGTTAGCAAGAGGAACATCCCAAGATGTGAATTACAAATTGGATCGTCCTGGGTATGAGGTTTTGAGGAGCATGGAACCACCTGTTAATTGCTGTTGTTCCCAGGTCCACCCTGACCCAGGATGGTAGCACCTCTTAGTGTTCCAGCTATAGGTAAATAGTTAAACCCTTAACTTGGGTCAAAACACTATGAAAGTATAAAAACACATTTTAATAGTAAAAATACCAGCAATACATTTTCATAGTAAAACTAAATTACCAGCATTACATTTTTGTAAAAGAAATTACTAATGCTCTCAAGAAAATTGAATTTTGGCATTAAATGACCCATAAGGAGTTGATATGTCATGAAACAAACAAATTGGAGGTATCAAAATCCATCAATTTCCATCTGAATTTCTGAGGTGAGGTGTTATCATTATTTACATGCGAACTATTGTCCTTATTGTTGTTGTTGTTGTTATCACAATATTTCAGCCATTGTGCCCTTCAGCCCTCATCAGCCATATTTCAATCTGGTTAACCTACAGGGAATTTTGAATTGAAATCTATTTTAATCTACAGAGGTTGATTATTCTCACTCCACTGCTCATGTCATCTAGTTCTTATTTTAGCACTGGTCAGTTATTGCTCACCCTGTTTCCACTGAGTCCAAGTACACACTGTCTGGCCCAGAGATTGAACTCACAATTATTATGTCAACAAATTCATTAAATAACGCTTTAGTCAACTAGGCTATTGTTCCATGGTTGGCTCTGTACTTGGGTCCAAGGGCAAACACTGGTTGCATTTGTTCATGAATTTGTTGACATAATAATTGAGTTCAATCCCTGGGCCAAGCAGTATACTCAGAATCCATAGAAATGGCGGGGTGTGGTGAGCAATGACTGAGCAGTACTAAAATTTTCTGTTCCTTATATCGCATTTGTTAGTTTTATATAGCAATGACTTTTAATGTGAGTGACTAAAATGAAAATGTTTAAAAAGAAAACAAGTCAGATATTCCAGCTATCTCTTGCGGTGTGGAATGCAACTACTGTTTCTTTGTTTCCTGAAAATCCTGTGTACCCGCAAGATGATAGCTCGCATTGGTTGATGAATTTAGTGACATAGTAATTGTGAGTTCAATCTCTGCACAGGGAACTGCAGACGAAGACTCAGTGGGAAGTAATAATGAACAGTACAAAATAACGTTGGCCGTGGAAAAAGAACAATCTATCATCAGAGAATAAATAAAGAGTCCAATTCAGATTTAACAAATTCTAAAAATAGCTTTTTAAAACAATAAAAATGTCTGAGGGGTATAGAGTAATAGGGGTATAGAAAAAAAAAACATCTTGACCCACAGTTTTTGTGAATGAAAATGTTAAACTTTGCCTATATTTTATTTTGGATGTTATCAGGAGTGATGGCCATTTTGAGGAATTTAAAATTTAAAATTGTTTGCAGAATTCAAAAAGTGGAAAGAAATGAAACAAAACGCAACTGTAAACCCTCCACATAAATTGTTTTAAGCATTTTAACTCTCTTTTAATACAATGTTTCTGTGTCACAATATTAGTGCCATGGGGTGTACAAATGCCTGAAATATGCAGTGTTCAAACCCCCATTAAAAATATTATTATATAGTAAGAAATTTTATTGTTATACAGTGTAACCCGGATATAAGAGAGATTTCCTCTGGTCCCAAATTAGAGCCTGTGTTAATGTATATAAATTAGACCAAACCCGGATATAAGAGACTTCTTCTCCGGTCCCGACAACTCTCTTATATCCGGGTTACACTGTACATTGTCTGTGTCTGATTTTTATGCTGATAGCCGCATCACGTTGAAATCCCAATTCCCAAAGTTAAGAATGTTGCGCTTCAGAAATATCAGGTGCAGTAAACTTGGATGGTATAAAGGATAATACCTTGGAATTGTTAATCAGAGAGCCGAGTTCCAAATAAAACATGCCACAGTACTAACAGAGGGCAAAAAATATTTTTCCAATTATATTAATAACTATTAATTCTGGGGGATCACTTTCTTACTTAATAACAAGAGAAAATCGATCCTCCATTTTATGTCCAGTAAACTCTTGTAAATCCTAGTTTACAGCCATGTGCTTATAATTGTTATAGACAAGCGTATGGTTGCAAGAAAGAAATATGACAACAGCAGAATTAGATTTACGTGGTTTATTTCAACAGGAACATGTGAGTTTGGGACAGCTACCTTGTGGTAAAGTTCATAAGCCGGCTTCGGATCTAGGTCGATCTCTCATAGTAGTTCACACATGTTGATGGTGGTTGATGCTCCCCTGCTGTCAGCAGCTGAACGTGACAGGTCTCTATCCTGGGCACCTGTGGACTGACCGTTGAACTTCCATGTGACCCCTTTTATAATGTTGTTTTATGGCTTAACAGGCTCAAAAAACGAAGCGAGTATAATTAGGAGGGAAGCATTTTTATTGGACGAAAAATAGAACACTTTAAATATTATTTTATTTTTCAACCGGAACTCTGGTGTCGGGAACATTTGTAAATGAAGATAATGGTCATTTTGTGACAGGGTTTTTGTCCCGTTCACATCCGGCTCTCGCTCTTGCGTATATGCCTGTAAATCAGCCGAGATATGTCTTATTTTATTTTATAACATAATTCAAGCAAATATTTATAACTAAAACGAGAAACTCCTTGTAGTTATTTAACATAGGACTTGAGAAAGCTACTTGCCTATTCATGAACATTGGACTTGCCATTTTCTAGATATTAAAGAAAAACATTTTGTGGTGTATTCAAATATGTTCATGGTACTGACAGGGGCTTAAGGGACAAGTGAATTGTTCCTTAAAATAAAACACACAAGTAAATGATCATCAGTTGTCAATTATAACATTTTAAAAATGTAAGATAGGAGAAAAGATAAAAACGTGAATAAATGCTTTCGAACACAAAGCATATAAAAGATTATTTTGTGATGTTATCAAATGAAAAGTTGTGAAAATAAAAGCTTGTTTTTTTGTCGTTTTTTTTAATTGGTAAAATAAATATTAATAATAATTATTATTTGAGGTATTTTTTTTTTTTTTTGAGAAAATGTCAAATAATCTATTTCAAGTCGACTAATCATTGAAGGTTGGTAAGTGCCTGGACTTACGTTTATGTTCAAGTTTGCAGAACCCATAAAGTAATGTCAATCCAAGCAAAGGTACTCAGTCCCCCCCCAAAAAAAAAAATGTCTCCTTTTGGAATTCTGGAATTGGAGTCAGTTGATTAAAACATTTTCCATCCTTATTTTACTTTCTTTTTGCACAATGGAAAAATTTTATTTTGAATGTCAAGGACACATGGCGTTAGATCCATTGACAGGATCCAAAGAGTGTGAGTTCAATACCTGGTTAAGGCGGTGGAGAACTTGGAGAGGGGAATTAACAGGAGATAACTGATAACTGACATCCATTAAACATGGCATGTGGAACTAGAACAGTCTACCCCAGTGAGCAAAATAAAGGGTTCAGTTTGACATTCCAACCACTTGAAAAAGTCCGGAGGGTACAACGGCCAAAACGTAATAAATATGGTGACAAAGATGAGGACAATAGTCCAAATAATATAAATAATGTACATAATACCTCATCTCAGAAATATAGACAGATACTGTCATACCTGAACGTATCTATTCTGTTATTAAGACTCTCCCACACATAATAAGTAGTAGTAGTAGTAGCGGTCACCAGTTAGGGCTCAGTGGTGTTGAGTGAGTCAGTCGATGTCGGACATTGAAGTATCAACCATCACAACTAGATTGTTGTGTCATTAATTATTATTGCAAGTTCCAAACGTTTTGTACATCGAACCCTTTTTAAGACCGACTTATTGAAATACAAGCCTCCACTGTAAAAACTACTCTACAACAGATACTAATATTACTTCCTTTTCCACTGCATTCTTTTTCAAGGCCTCTCAGTTTCACTCAAAGTTGTTTTCTGTTGCCATAGCAGGATATGGCAACACCACTATGCAAATCCCTGAACACAATTGTTCAGGGATCAGTCAACTTCAGTAGCAAGATAAACTTTTTGTGCAGTAAATGTAGTCACATACAGAGTGATAAAAGTTAATGTTTATATTAGTCATACACAGAAGTCTTTGAAGAATTTAAATCATCAGTTACTGAAAATCAGCTCTGAAGTGTAAAATAAAAAATTCAATAAGACTAAGATATTATTTAATTAGAAAAAAATCTTAATTGCTTTTATGAATAAAATATATTAAGAATACTATTGTCTTAAGAAAAAAATTCAATGAATAATTAGTTTTTACAAGAATTATTTTCATTTTCAAAAAAAAAAAAATTATTTAGAATAATTTATAAGGTTTTCAAACTTTACATATATTTATACAGAAATTATACCAGTTAAGTGATATTGTTATTAAGTAAAAACTATATGTATTAATCATAAATGAAAAAGCTTACTATGATTCATCTACGTACACAAAAAACATTAAAAAATTTTTAAATATTAGGGGATATTTTAAAAATTTTAAATTTTTTTGTGTGTATATAAATATGCCATTTTTTGTAAATATGAACATCTGTGACACTATTTAGCTATGGTAATTGGCTAACTAATTAACCATAGAAATTTAAACAGGAAATACTTAAGGCGAAAAAGAGCTATCCTGAAAGACATCCCGATCGATGTTAAAAAAAAAAAAAATTATTTTATTTA